GTGTCGCCTCCCATGCATGATATCGCCATCAATACCCTGACCCAATAAGGAATGCGCTGCCCGTACACGTAAGTTTCGATTGTTGCCGCCCAGTGTAACACACTTTCTTCTTTTTTTCCATTGTAGGTCCATGGCAGTTTGAGCTTTATTTTATTAACTTGCCCGGCCTCCTGAGAAGGTTTGTCTTTTGGATCCCCAATCTTCTTTTTCCCTTTCTTATCACCATCACCGTCATCATCACCATCGTCTCCGCCTCCTCCGACTCCTTTCATGATTTTCTCTATAACTTCGGGAGTGAAGACTATATTAATATGTTCGTCGAAAGCCTGGATGTAAGTTTGCACATGTTGGTCAACATCCTTTGCTGACTTTTTTACGAAGTTATTCCAAACATTCTCAAATTCAACACGATGTGTTTCTACACGTTGCAAGGTCTGCCGCATTAAGTCCATGTCTTGCCTCGTGTTGAGGACGGTCTCCCTGAGGAGTGTAAGCTGTGCTTCAGTTGCAGAGGGGTTTTCCTTTTGCGCTTCTAGAGCTTTCTGCAATTTATCCCCTTCTGCTTGCAATCTTTTCTTGCCTTCCACCTCTTGCCATCTAGCGGCCAACAGCCTGCGATTTAGCTCAGCCCGTTTCTCCTCCAACATCAGGTTTCGTTCAACAATGTCTTTAATAGTAGCCAACTTGGCGGTGAACGTATCCCGTTCTTCATCAGATTCTTTTAACAGCTCACTGGAGTAGTAGTACCGGCTGCCCCAGTCCAGCGGTTCAACAGGAAGGCGGGTCGTTGTGCTGCTTTCAGGTATGTCTTGGCAACGACGTCTTTCCAACACTTCTCCTTCTTCTTGTTGTTCTTCTTCTTCTTCTTCTATACTTTTTAATTCTTCTTTTAGTTCCCTGTCCATTTTCTCTTTCATTTTCTTTCTTTCTTCTTCTTCGTCTTTCTGTTTTTTCTTTGCTTCCTTTTCTTTTTTCTTTTCTGCTAGCCTGCGGTCAATTTCGGCTTGCTCCGCAGGTGTGGGACCGGACTTCACTGTCCCTGACCGCATCAGCATGCGGGACGTGCACACACGTCCAAACCCAAGTGGGAACATCAGCTTGAACAGGGGCCCCAATAATACAGAAAGGGCCAACAGGCCCTAGGGAAAGGAGGTGCTTCTCTCTTCTTGAAGATGCCGCCGATGATGCTCCATGACGCTCCGCACGCTCCAGGTAAGTAGACTTTGCCACTTCTTCTTCGGCCTGCTTCCCCCACTATCAAACCCTTCTTCTCTTCCTCCCTCCTTCGCTATTCCTCCATCACCACTTCTTCTCGCCGGCCTTGATCAGACCAGCRCTATGAGAGTAGCGAGCATCTGCTCTGATACCAAAATTGCATGGGTCCTGGGGACCATCTCACGCAGATGTGTACATGTCATGCATCATCTTCACACGCAGTGATCAATAGTCCCAACCATAGACAAAGGTAGAGAAGAAGAGAACCGAGTTTCACAGCTTATATTATCAGAAATATGATTACAAAGTGTTTCAAAGTTCCCCTGAGTCCAGCGCTCGTC